TCAATTTTACAAATTCTTACATAAATAAAGATGAAGTAATTTCCAAATAAATGATGCTAAAAATTTCAATACTAAACAACTTTGATCCACCAGAAACAGTTGAGATGGCGATTTTCAGAATTCTGTTCGTATTACAAGACCGTCAAAGCTGGTCTTTCTTGCATCCTGTTCTAAGAGGCTTTTGTGTCGTGAAAGCAATCGATCGGTTCGATTAAAACCTGCCAACTCGATCCATGCACGTAACACGTTATAATCGAGCCTTGAAGACAACAGTCTCTTCATGGTTTAATACACTTCGAGGCTGATAACGTAGTGGCACGTCTTTGTATGCCAAAGTCGAGGAACTTTGACGTAGCACATCGTTTTCCTCAGTTTTAGCCCTAAATTAGTCAGTGGTAATTTCATCGTTATTTTAGCACTCTTATTTGTCACTGTTTTGGGTGCAAAGTAGTTTCTTGTGTAGATGAAATGTAAGTAGTGAATTGATAACAGCTTTATTTGACTGTAGGTTCAATTATATGATCATTGATGAGTAATGGTATTTGTACTAATTATTGGATATTGGAAATTTAGTACTTTTCAAACTTTTACATTTATAGATTTTTAGAATTTTTAGTATCTGAAAGATCTTAAACTTTTTGATTACTAAGTTTGAAATTTTTAAACTTTCATGTTCTCAACTTTCAAGCTTTTAGCTCTCCACATTTCAGCAAGTGTTAAATCTTAAGATCTACAAATACTGAGGTTTCTGTAAATATTTAAATTTCTCAAAATTCTTGAAATTTCACATTTCTAAAGATATACACTTCTATATCTTCAAGCTGTTAAATTTCTCAATTCTCAAATATAAAAATGCAGGAACTTAAAAATTTCCAAAATACTAAATTTCTAACTTTGCACTGACTTTTTAATTTCAAAATTGTTTCGATGTATACTAGTAATAATAAAAGTCCAGTATCATATAACTACATAATTTGAAATAAGAATTTTTTAATTAAATCTACATTAAACATGTGATACACGAACACAGCGAAACAGGCAACATGGCGTCTAATAATAGAGAAATAGCTTCAAAGGAATTCATCAAACTTTTTAATTAGAAAGTTTTACAGTTGCTACTTGCCAACAGCAAAAATACCTTCGAGTGCAAAGGGTTGATTTTCGAATAAATTAAAATTACATAGTAAATATAACGTAAAATACTTGAAGCGATATATAACTCTTTCGTAATTAACTTGGTCAGCTATTTCCGTCGTGACCCTTTTTTTAAAAAGCGGACAACAAGCAACAAAATTAACTTCGCCTATCAATAATTAAGCCGAAATAACGATTCGTCAAGCGTCGAGTCTATTCATTTAAGATCTCGATAATTAATTTCGAGCTTCTTTCTTGGAAGCTTGCAGAGGAGAGAACGAATTCCTTCGAGTACGCGGCATCGTAGAAAGGAATTACCAAGGGATTCGAGCTGCTTCGTTGGGATCATTACGAGATAAACTAATATGTGCCGGACCATTATGAGACGATGCTTGAAATTCCATGACGCCTACGTTTTCACCCTTATTCGGCTTCTTTCTACCCTCGAAACCACGTCAAACCCCGTTTTTATTCATCGAAACGAAGGAAACGCTGGAATTTTCGGAAACGAAGGAATTTTCTTCCGTATATTATATTTCCCTTAGCTAAGCTCTGTGTGCATTTTAATATATTAATATTACTATTTATTTAATTTATTTAAATTTGTAGTTACTATTTATTTTACGTTATTATTGAAATTATTTCATTCGTCATATGTATCAATGTTCCCATTTTTGAATTTGACTATAGTGAAACAGCTGGTATAATAATATTGTTTATTTCTGGTTAGGTTGGTGCATTGTACGCAATTCCAATGTTAAACAATCCAACAAAAGGATTAACAAATTATATCTACATATTAGATTAGCAAATTACCTATACATTACGTTAGGTTTGAAATTTTCACAATTTCATTAAACAAAATTAGATATTAAAATTTAATGGATAATAATTCTCAATTAAGTTAAAAATTATTTTTAGAATGAATCAAAATTATTGAAACATTAATATTTTGTCTAATTTATGACAATTTTTGTAAAAATACTGAGTTGCTGAATTTGATACTTCAGTCAACGTCAGCCATTTTGTATTAACACTCTACTAGTACATAGTAAATATTTAAAATCGAAAATAAATCATTAGCAAAACATAAATTAATACAAGTTACTTCTTTATTTTCATAAAAATCAATATACGATTCAAGACAAGTACCTTAACAAAAATTTTAAATAAAAAACTTGTGAAATTTTGATTACTTTTAGTAAACATTGATGAAATCTTTAAGAAGTTATTGTTATAAAATATTAAGCTACAAATTGGTGCAGCATAACACATTTACCATAATGTAGTTATTATGATAAATTTTTATGTCACCAATTTTATAGACATCTGCATTTGTCAAATTTGATAAATTATTGTTTTTTTTACCAAGAATGCAGAATACAAAAAAAATTAAGACGAATAGTACGCGTATATTTAAACTCGCACATATTTACTTCGTCGCAGCGGAAGTTTTACTATACTACTTTATCAAGTAAATTCACAATGGCACTGAAAGTTTGCATGACTCTCGTGATATCTTCCGCGCCATATTGTAGACCATTGACGGGCAACTGCGCCCGTGCGAGCGTGCTACATGTCTCTGTGTTTTGAAATTTTCAAGTTACCAAACTTCCCAATGTTTGTATTTCTGAATTATCTGGAGTATCTAAAACTTTGCAATTTTAAAAATTTAGTATTTTTACATTTAACAATTTCGTAACTTAAACTTGCAGTATTGGGAAACTTAACTTAAGAATGTGGTGATTTTCAACCCTTTGCACTCCTCAATTTCTTTCGCCTACTGACTCATTAATTTACAAAATAGATCAAGAAAGGGCTTCGCAATAAAATGTGCTGCAACAGGACGGAGTATGTGACAAATTTGTCTTTTATTGCAAATAGTAAATAAAATACGATATACATATTCAACCAATCTATTTATTTAAATTGAGATCCAAGAGAAATGTGATGTCGAGTCGCACTCGACATAGAAGTGCAGAGGGTTAAACTTGAGAATTTGGATATTAAACAACTGTTAAATACTCCCAGCGTAATTATTTAGTTTATTTAGATATAAGTTAGGTTATGTCTCATTTGAGACCTTGAACACTCAGAAATGACATCAGTTCGTATTATCAAATCACTCCGAAATTTGCTTCTCATTTCCCATAAAAAAACAATCAAACCACGAACATAACACTGACGAACCACCCTAACGGATAATATACGTATTAAGAAGTTTGCGAATAAAGAAAGTTGCTGAGGTTGTCGTATAGAAATGATCAATTTCATGGGGCGTGCACTTCAGCGATGTAAGAGGACCTCCCCTTAACTTTGATAAAAAATTTTCTTCCATCTACGGTGTATTTTCCACTCCCCTTGGATCAATGTCTTTTTCCTGATGAGGGTGAATCTACTTATTCACGAGGTTATCACGATGCATAAACGGAGCTTTATAACCGAAGCTACGGAAGAGAAAATCATCAGAGTATCAGGTTATTAATGTTAAAGTGTTCTAAAATGAAGCAACACGGTAACGATATTTAACGTCGATAAAATATCATGAAATTGGACAACGTTAAAGCGATTGCAACCTTAACGTGAACAATAACATATTCGAGTAAAAAGCAGAGAAAAAAATAACAGACGAGTATTAAATGAAGCTGAAAATTTATTGCGTGTATCATCAATTGAAAGCTCTCTGTTTTCTCTTCTCTCTCGTTTGTATCGCGGAAATACATATTTTCCCGCTTCGATAACGATCCTGTATGTACGAGTTATGAACTCTCAATATTTTTTCTTTTTTATAATGTTACCCAGCCGAAATGTGCTCGCATTTTGTTATACGAGTATTACTGCAATAAATTGTACCGACTGATGCACGATAAATATGCAGATACGAAAGTTTTCGAGTTGACGTATGGTAATTCAGCTATTGGAATTTAATCCGGCACGTGTAACGAACCGTTTCATGAATAAGAATGCATTGTTTTCAACTGGGTCACATCTTAACATGTTTGTTTCGATGAAATTATATTTATTTATACATCCTCGAGTAATTGTTTAAAACGGCTCTAAAGCGTTTTTCGATACTGACAGAACTTTAGCTTCATTAATTATTGATAGGGAGAAATTAATTGGTCTGAAGTTTCATGTTTACTGATACAAGTTTGTTTACGACGGGTAAATAGATCGATAAGCCGAAATTAATAAGGGCGTTAAAATTAGTAGGACGTTTTGTTTATTTCAATATTTGTTGGCGATATGTGTAATTTGTTAATTATGAAAATATTTATTAATAAAAATTGTTTTAAAAGTGGCTCTCATACTATTTTTGTGTTCTTCAATTTATTATATTAAAATTATGTTTGTTACTATTTGATTTATTCAAATGGGTAATGAGCTAATCAATATTTGATTGCTTTTTGTGATGTGTTGATTCAATATTTAGTGCTTCAGATTTAGAGGTTAGGAATTTGACGAAACTGTGGATATCGAAATTTGAAAATTAAACATTTGAAACACTGGTTTGTAAATTTGAAAATTCGTTTTAGAAATTAATTGAGAATTTAAAAATTAAAAAATTTGAGCATCTGAAAATTTGTTTTGGAAATTTCGTTGATTTGACATTTCATAATTTCAATATTTGCTCACTACAATCATTAAAATTCAACAACAAATAATTACCAAAAATAAATATAAAATGCACAGAAATCAATCTTCTGCCACATCTCACTTTTTCATCCCTCGACACAACGTAAAAGTTTTATAAAAAAAAATACGAGAAGAGACCACAAATTTAATGTCCACTCGAATAATTATATTTTATTAATAATTTCTTCTTACATTATATTATAAAGCATAAAATATTATGTCTGTTTCAGATTCAATTTTCCAAGAAAGAATTTTGATGGTGCACCGAGAGAAACCATCCAAACTTTATGGGAATGTGTTTCTGGCAAAAGGATGAGCCAAGTGGCTCCATGTTCTGTCGATTTCTATTGGAACATTCACGTTTTCGTTGTACCGAGGACATTGCCGTGATCTTATTGTGAAAAGAAGAGAAGAGGAATAGCAGATATCTGCTCTGAGAACGACTTTATGCCGGTAACCAGCGCCGGAAAACAGAACGCCACTGGAGGCGCAACAGGGAGCTAAGAGCACTTCCGTTTTTTCCTAAAACAGTCGTGCGGTTCTACAATTACCAGGATGTTGCCCGCTAATGTGGTATCTTTCGTTAAAAAGGTAACTTGTTTTAAATTTACTAACTTTATTTGGATATCGTTGAAGTATTTGCAATTCTGCTATTAGGAACGATGACAAACATTTTCATGTTTGTGTTATTAGATTTTATGAAAGTAGATACGAATTTTATATCTATAATATAATAATAGTATAATTTAATAATTCAATGTTATTTGAGTTCAAAGTAATAAGTTTAATAGATGTTTTAAGGTAATATAGGATTTCAGAAGGACTTTTCGTTTCGGTTATTACTATTAAAAATTCTGCGAAAATGAAATATATTTAAATATATCAATTTCTAAGTTTTCAAGTTTTCTAATTTGTCAAATTTCCAAATTTACACGTAGTTAATTTTTGAAACTTGAAAATACATGATTCTTAAATCTTCAAATCACTAAATTTTCAAATTTTTATTTAAAATTCCAAATTTCTAGGTTATTAAATTTCTGTGTTTCTGAATTTCTGAATTGTCAAATTTCTGAATTCTCGAATTTCTGAATCTCTGAATCTCTGAATCTGTGAATCTCCGAATCTCCGAATCTCCGAATTTTCGAATTTTCGAATTTTCGAATTTCCGAAATCTGAATTTCCGAATTTCCGAATTTCTGAATTTCTGAATTTCCGAGTTTCCGAGTTTCCGAATTTCCGAATTTCCGAATTTCCGAATTTCTGAATTTCCGTATTTCTGAATTTTATTTCTAAATACATAACATTTAGAATACAATACTTTATCTCTAAAATTTTCAAGTTTTTATATTATTAAAACCCCGAATTTCAAGTTTATAAAATTCCAAAAATATTAACCAAACGTTTATAATTTTCCATCTTCACATCTAAATTGCTGATTAAATGCATCAAGCTTTAAATTGAGCTTCTTTCCGGTCTATTTATTATTTCACAAGTAAATATTTTAACTTATTTATAAAATAAGTAAACATTTCAACTTCTTATGAAGTAATAAATACACAGGAAAAATGTTTTATTTGCTATAACATACAGCATCATTGAATGTACCAACATATTGTATACAATGCTGAAAATGAATATACGCAGCGTAGGTATTGTATTTCTGCAAACTATCGATATGTTCGCGTTTCGTTCAATTTAACACAAGCGTCGGTACTTATGTTTTCTCATCGAACAACTTTTTTTTCGAAGTTTTATTTTAAAGTTAGACATATTCTTGTTTGTTACTGAACGACACTATATTTTTTTATGTGATCGTGCAATAGAGTTTGTTACTCGGTTACAAGCTTGTTTACATGAGTACTGTATGCTCTAGAAATATAACCTCAATTTTTCTGTATATTCTGCATCTGTGTGCAAACTATATGAAAAACAGAGATTTAATTTAGTTTATTTCTTTATTCAAATCTTTACATAAACTGCAAATTTTAATTGAAATAGATTATAAATCAATACAATTTGGTTAATCATATACAAATTCAACTATTAGTCCATGAATTATTTGAAAATAAATCTAAATGTAGTTAATAAAACATATTTAATTTAATATAATGAGTTTTTATTAATAAACAAACTGATAGATTATTTAAAAGGATATAGTGGTAATATTTTAGTATTAAATTGTGGTTAAATATTATTTAATAGCATTTGTTATGTTTATCTAGATATATGTTATACATTGTTAAATTAATTTTCGATATAATTACAATATAATTATGTTATTAAATTGCAAAACTTATCTTTATATTTGTTTTTCAGTATCAATAAATGTTATTAAATACTATTATAATTCGTTACGTATTATTTAAATTATTCATTCATTATTTACTGTACTATAAATTACATTAGTAATTTAAATAACTAAATTCTTCAACAAATTGTTCAAATATTTTGAAAGTTTTAACATTTCACTATACTTGAATTCTTAATTGTATAAACAGTTTCCTACAATTTTTCTGTGAATATTATAAAAATATATAAAAATAAATAAATCAATTTTCTAAAAATATATAAAAAGTCTATTAGGATTACTATTAATAATTATTATTAATTATAATTTATTGAAATAGAAGTCTCAATCCTCTTCAAAATACTAGTATGGTATTTTTAGAATCAGCAACAATTATTTTATTAATTATTTTAGTATGTACTATACATATATATAGTATCAAGAATTAGAGTAACTAGTTTTTTTCACAATATTTAGTAACATTTTATATTTTATGTTTTACAATATTTTATAAGATTTTACAATTTACTTTACACTATTTTATGACATTTAGTAACATCCCAAATTACAATTGTTATAAATTCACCAAACATTTGCATATTTTACACAAAAATTTTCTTGATAACATCTTTTTATATTATACCATAAAAAAAATACACCTTCCATTACCGTTACAACCGTAAACTTTTTTTTTTATTGAAATTTACCCTTCAATACGAAAGGATTTCTTTCTAAATGGAAAACAGGGACCTAGTACGTGTTCAGATAACCAACGATTCGCTTTAATCAGAACTCTTTTCACGGCATTCTTTATTTGATTATTTTTCTTTTCTACCTGATTATGAAACGCGAATTACGTCCATTATAACATAAAGTTGAGAAGAACCTCGCCCACGCAAGAAACGTTTCCAGGGGAAAATGAATTCGACACAGGGAAGCCGAAAATAACCGAGATTAAACTGGGATTAAGTTTTTTTTTTTTTCACTTTTTACAAGTGCACGGAAGATTTAGGTCGATTTAACATCGGAACACAATTGTTCGCTCTGAAGGATTAAATTCCCTTTATGGGAAATTACGCTGGCTATTTTACGGTGTTAATCATCCGTGAAAATCACGTGCAATTTTCCTAGATGACTTAGATTAATTATGGATTAAATTAGCCCGTCAGATACATTATAGATTTTTGAATAAAGAATTCTCGTCTGTGCTTTAGATGTTACAGCCAGTTACAGGCACAAACCTTTTAATATTTTATTACATGACGAGGGAAATTAAATGTTCGTTCGTGTATTAGATATTAAAATTTACTAGATTATTTTATTTGGTGGAGGATGCTAGGGAATTATTTTATAAGTGATTTTCAAATTACTATATTTTTGAATATTCAAGTTTAGTAATTTTTTAATTTTCAAACTTTAAACCCTCAAATTTTTAAGTTCTCAAACTTTCAATTTTTTAATCCTTCAAATTTTCAAATTTTCAAATTTCCAAATTCTTAAATTCTCAAATTCACAAATTCACAAATTCACAAATTCCTAAATTCCCAAGTTATCATCCTAATTTTCGAATTTCCCAAATTTCCAATTTTTCAATTTCTCAATTTTCCAATTTTTCAATTTCCCAAATTTTCAATTTCCCAATTTCTCAATTTTCCAAATTTTCAATTTCCTAATTTCTCAATTTTCCAAATTTTCAAATTTCCAATTTCCAATTTCTCAATTTCCTATTTCAAAATTTCCAATTTCCAATTTCTCAATTTTCTAAGTTCCCAAATTTTCAACTTCTCAATGTTCCAAATTCCCAATTTCCCAAATTTCCAATTTGTCAATTTACCAAATTTCCCAATTTCCCAATTTCCCAATTTCCCAATTTCCCAGTTTCCCAGTTTCTCAAATTTACAATTTTCCCATGTTGGTTTTTTACGCAGTTTTATTATATAAAATTAATGTGTGTTACAATACGTCTTTATTTTACGGCGTCTATACTCGCACTGCCGCCAAAATGCGCGTCTCTGCGATTCGCGATGCATTGACAAATGAATGCCGATTTTGTTAATTCGCGACATCTCTCGACATATCACGATACTCTAACATCCCATTTTCTAATTTCCAAAATTCCCAAATTTCCCAAATTGCCAAATTCTCAATTTTTTGTATTTTCAAAATTACAAACTTGCAAACTATCAAAATGTCAGATCCTTAAATCTCTGAATTGTTATATTGAAGACTTTTTTTCTCTAAAACCCCAAATCTCAAATTTTTCAAATTTTAAACAATTCCTCACTCGTGAATAATTTACTTCTGATTAGCTTACAAATTGTATTAAATAACCTTATATTTACATATTACTATAATATATGATAGTAATATTATATTATATATGATATAAGTAATATATAATACATAGAACTACATATAGTATAATATATAATTACACCATATTTTGCCACTTTTCTCTTCTCAAATCTCAAAAGTAAAAAAATCACAACCTGAATACCTATAATGTTTAACACTTTGTTCCTTTCATTCACAAACACACAAAAATGGATGAACGCATCAATATTAATTTCCGTAGCAGTTTCACCCTTTCAGAACCGTGTTCCATCAAATTTATGGCGCCTGCTGTGAAATTTACACCATGATTCGTAAACACGGTCTATTTCTTTGTATCAAGGCAATCTGACGTGAGTTAGTATCAACCGACAATGACTTATATTCCTTTATCTGGTAACCAGTTCGTGCCGAGTATAGATTAAACGGCATTGTTTCAAGTTCGTGTCAAGATCCATGGTTGACAGGAGGGGATTAAATTTCTTCGAGCTTCAACGTTCCCGAGGGGCGATTTCTTTCTTCAACGTCGACTTTGTTACCTGTCGTGTCAGACTTTGTTGCCTCGTTGATTTTCCACTTGCTTCGAATTCGTCGAAATATAACTGGTTATATTCATATTTTAGAATTCACTATCAATTTCGTATTTTTACTTTGATATAGTTTGAATATTCTTCATTCAATGTCTTTAAAATGAGATGACCAATAAGTTACTAATAAATGATTTTCAGGAGCTTAATATGACAATTCATAATAAAAATATACAAAAATACTTGAATACAAAAAATAAAATACAAAATTCAAAAAATAAATAAAACCTTCAAGTTCATGTGTTTGACACAATTTTGTTAAAGTTATTATTTCCTCTTATTAATTATTATTGTTGTGCGTTTCACTATGTTTAAACGTTACATTATATAGTAATATACAACATTATAGAGTTAGTTAATAAATATTTATTTCAAACTGTTTTCTTAAATTTAATAGCGAATGTGCGTCACCCTTTGAGTGTACATTGTTAAACTAACAGATTTTCAAAAAGAAAGAAATTTGAAACAGTGCGCAACATCGTAAATAATATAAAAAGTACTTTAGAAGAAATAACCAAAAAAATACGTATCATACGTTATAAATTCCTCGTCAGCAATCGGTTCACGCATTTCTACGATCACGTCGTTTCAGAGAGCGAGCATAATGGACGCATAAAAATTTAGTCGATTCAAATCGTCGATGCAAAAGGTCTGCCCATTCGGGGAACCGTTTCACTTTTATATCCTCGTCAACGTTATCCGATACACAGTATCATCCAAAAGTTTTAGGACATGTACTAAACTTCACACGTATCTCGAAAGAGATTGAAGAAATAAATGGAAACTTTTACTTGTTGAAAATGACTATTCCGTTAACAATATAGGCTACAAAATTAAGTAAATTTGTAATTAGAAATGATTAGAAGAACACAAGGTAAAAATTGAATGAATAAGCAATTTTTATTCTTGATAGGTCTTTGTTATGTCTTATCGTACATATGTATTTTTATACACATATACATATGTACATACATTTTGGTATGTATAGCAAAGTTATACACATCATCAGTAATTTTAATCAGTAGTTCAAATTGCATCTGTAAATATAGTAATATGAGATAGAAAATTGAAAACTTGAATTAAAAAATTTATTGAATTCATTAATAATTAATATTAATTAAGAATTTGAAAATAAACGAACATTCATGTAGCTGTAAGACCTCGAAGAATAGAATAATTGAAGGATACAACAAAACGAGAAAAGGAAAGTAAAGCAACCAAAATAAAATGAAATTAAAATCGAAGTTGAAAGATTGAAAATATGATAATTAATATGAAGTTAAATTAACATGGAAATTGAAACGAAATTTGAACGTAAAACATGAGAAAGTAAAGAACTCAAAATAAAATGAAATTTGAATTTAAATAACTAAGAAGGCTGTAAGTGAAATAAAATTAAATTCAAATTAAAAATAAAACTAAACTCGACTTTCAAAATAAGAGAAAAAAATAATTGAAAACAAATTAAATTAAAATTAAAATTGAATGTAGAAAATATGAAAGTAGAGTAACTAAAATTAATCTCAAACCAAATCTTAAACTCAAATCAAATTGAAATAAAACATCACAAAATGTGTAAATAAGAAGAGAAATGAAACCAAATAGAACTAAGTGAATTAAAAATCGGATAAAAAATTGTTTAAACAAAAAAGGAAAATAATTTTTGGACGGTAGTGTACGGATTTCGGGTAGTGAGAGGTTCCATGTTTTCGTTTCCCTTGCTGTCGGTGAAAACTCACGTTTGGAACACCATATGGTGCAGTGCGTCGACTATGCATTACCAGAAGTCCAACGGTACAATATCGGCCGTTTAATATTCCCCCGTTGAATTTGCATTCCGAGATTCCATCGTTCACTCGGATTACGATGGCGTGTGCTTCTCTCTGGCCTCTTTGGACCCCAACCAAAAGCCAAGCCTCTATTATACCCTGCTTATGGATCGAAGGGCGAAGGACACAATACACTAATCCTTACATGCATTCCTATGTATCAGTGTACACTACTCTACATTGTACATGATCGATTATGTACTGATAACAATATTGCTATGTGCAAATTTGAATGGAGTTTGTAGGCTATATTATAGTATTACACATTTATTAGCTTGTTATATGGCGTTTATAGCGTTCAAATATTCAATTTTTCAAAATCTCAAATTTTTAAAGCTTCAACTTCCCAATTTCCCAATTTTGTAATTTCCCAATTTCTCAACTTTTTAATTTCGTAATTTCCCATATTTCCAACATTACTCAATTTCATATTTACTCAATTCCGAATTTACCCAATTCCCAATTTCTTAAATTTTCAATTTTCCAATTTTTCAATTTCTTAGTTTCCTAACTTCCCAATTTCTCAAAATTCCAATCACTCTATTTCCCAATTTCCCAATTTCCCAATTTCCCAATTTCCCAATTTTCCAATTTCCCAATTTCCCAATTTCCCAATTTCCCAATTTCCCAATTTCCCAATTTCCCAATTTCCCAATTTCCCAATTTCCCAATTTCCCAATTTCCCAATTTCCCAATTTCCCAATTTCCCAATTTCCCAATTTCCCAATTTCCCAATTTCCCAATTTCCCAATTTCCCAATTTCCCAATTTCCCAATTTCCCAATTTCCCAATTTCCCAATTTCCCAATTTCCCAATTTCCCAATTTCCCAATTTCCCAATTTCCCAATTTCCCAATTTCCCAATTTCCCAATTTCCCAATTTCCCAATTTCCCAATTTCCCAATTTCCCAATTTCCCAATTTCCCAATTTCCCAATTTTCCAATTTTCCAATTTTCCAATTTCCCAATTTCCAAATTTCCCAATTTGCCAACATTTGTCAATTTTTCAATTTCCCAACATTTCGAATTCCAACATTACCCAATTTCCAATCTCCTAATATCGCAATTACCCAAATTTTGAAATTTCCTGATTCCCAAATTCCCGAATCTCTAAATTCCTCAATTACCAAATTTGGACTACTATTGTATACTATACAAGCATTAAGCTGATGTCTTGACTCCTCTAAAATTACTGACGTTTAAAATGGCCTACCATCAGTAGCATCTAACATTTTTATATTAACCTTATATAATACATAATCTAATCTAACATTATTTTATAACTTAAAACTTACTGAATATCCAAAGCATGGATGAACTTTGAAACACCCTATACAATTAAGAATCAATGTTCCTGAATTAACCTTCGGAACCATGTTCAAAAATTAGGATAAATTAAAATAAATTTCAAATTTAGAATGTTAAAAATATTTTTCTGATCAGCTGAATAACAGCTGATAACAACACTGTAACCTTAAAAATTGCAACAAACATTATGGTTTAAATAATATTTAAAGTATACAAAAATATACTTTAATGCATAGTCCAAAAGTAAACGCAAAGTATGGTCAGCGATGTTTGTATCAGGTGTTGATACACGCAAATGGAGTTCTGAAATTCCAAATGGATTTCATACATCAGAAGGATATTATTTAAAGAAACAGCGTAGCACGTAGGAAATGAGAATGCGAGAGAATTTCAAATGAAATTTAAATTGTAAATTACACGTTAAGTGAGTATTGATCCACCCTTGACATAGGATTCCCAATTTCCAAATTTCCCAATTTGCCAACATTTGTCAATTTTTCAATTTCCCAACATTTCGAATTCCAACATTACCCAATTTCCAATCTCCTAATATCGCAATTACCCAAATTTTGAAATTTCCTGATTCCCAAATTCCCGAATCTCTAAATTCCTCAATTACCAAATTTGGACTACTATTGTATACTATACAAGCATTAAGCTGATGTCTTGACTCCTCTAAAATTACTGACGTTTAAAATGGCCTACCATCAGTAGCATCTAACATTTTTATATTAACCTTATATAATACATAATCTAATCTAACATTATTTTATAACTTAAAACTTACTGAATATCCAAAGCATGGATGAACTTTGAAACACCCTATACAATTAAGAATCAATGTTCCTGAATTAACCTTCGGAACCATGTTCAAAAATTAGGATAAATTAAAATAAATTTCAAATTTAGAATGTTAAAAATATTTTTCTGATCAGCTGAATAACAGCTGATAACAACACTGTAACCTTAAAAATTGCAACAAACATTATGGTTTAAATAATATTTAAAGTATACAAAAATATACTTTAATGCATAGTCCAAAAGTAAACGCAAAGTATGGTCAGCGATGTTTGTATCAGGTGTTGATACACGCAAATGGAGTTCTGAAATTCCAAATGGATTTCATACATCAGAAGGATATTATTTAAAGAAACAGCGTAGCACGTAGGAAATGAGAATGCGAGAGAATTTCAAATGAAATTTAAATTGTAAATTACACGTTAAGTGAGTATTGATCCACCCTTGACATAGGAACGTTGAATACATCGAAAGAAGGGTTTGCTTTGGTTAGTTTCACGGGGAACATTATTTTCTGTCGTAGATGGTGACGACGCAACCAGATTCCGGAACAACCGGATCGGTTACGCCGGATGATGGCGGCACCACCTTCAGCAAATGGAGGCAATTGGGAAGTGGTGTGATACGGGACGGTAAGTTCCATTACTCATCCTGACTAGTCTACTAATTTCGTGTCTGTATCAACCTGAAATCTCTATTTCTTGTCTGCTTTCCCGATGGAGTATTTACGTCGAAAAGTTGCTTCTTTAGCTGGATAATTTATTATGTAACAGATAACAAAAGTTAAGGCAAAAGTACCAGTTTTTTGAAACATAAATAAGGTTTTTATAAGTTGAGTGTTTTTGATGAAAGTGAACAGATGCTATGTCAGTTACATTTTAAAACAATTATATGTAACGTGAAGTTTACTATTAATATCTAAATTCATTAATGTAATGTGCCATTATATTTTGATCTCCATTTTCCAATTTCTCAGTTTTCTAGTTTCCCAATTTCCCAATTTCTCAAATTTCCAATTTCTCCATTTCCTAGTTTCCCATTTCGCAATTTCCTAATTTCTCAATTTCCCAATTCCTCAATTCCTCAATTCCTCAATTCCTCAATTCCTCAATTTCTCAATTTCTCAATTTCTCAATTTCTCAATTTCCCAATTTCTCAAATTACCAATTTCTCCATTTCCTAGTTTCCTATTTCCCAATTTCCCAATTTCCCAATTTCCCAATTTCCCAATTTTCCAACTTCTCAATTTCTTAATTTCTCAATTTCTCAATTTCTCAATTTCTCAATTTCTCAATTTCTCAATTTCTCAATTTCTCAATTTCCCAGTTTCTCAAATTTCCAATTTCTCCATTTCCTAGTTTCCCATTTCCCAATTTCTCAAATTTCCAATTTCTTCATTTCCTAGTTTCCCATTTCCCAATTTCCCAATTTCCCATTTTCCCATTTTCCCATTTTCCCATTTTCCCATTTTCCCATTTTCCCATTTTCCCATTTTCCCATTTTCCCATTTTCCCATTTTCCCATTTTCCCATTTTCCCATTTTCCCATTTTCCCATTTTCCCAATTTCCAAATTTCTCAATTTCCTAAGCCTAAAAAGGTCCTCAAATCTTCATTTGAGGTCCTTTTTAGGATTTTGTTATATCTATACAAATTTATGTTGCATTGTAGATAGCGTTATTTATGTTGAAGAAGTATATACCATAAGTGTTTTGATAATTAATAATAGTTCTAACTAGTTATTTTGTATACAGCTGTATGTAACTTCAATTTATTGACTCTAAACTATTTCTTGACGTTTGCAAGCTTTATTGCAAATTTTATCAAGTTTTATTTATAATAAGAGTTAAAGAGATTATATACTTGATAAAATAATTTCAATCAAAATTTCGATGCAAATATTCGACCACATGTTTGCCACCATTACAGAAACCTGTATTACTCTATTTTCATTTGAAAGATCATTTTACGTCCTTGAAATGTTAAGTACTGCATTTTGGTGGCGTTTCATCGCGACTATAATTCAAATACAGAGTTCCTCAAGTTTCTCAAGATGTCTTAACGGATAAGGTGTTAACAACAAGCTCTATTTAAGCAAAAGCAACAAACAAAGAGAAATTGTATTCCTCTAGCTAACAAACCCTGCATAAATAGCTTGTTTTTTACTTAATTATGGTTGGGCTGCGTTTAAACGGAGGTAAACGTGGCAGGAAAGTGAGAGAGCCCGAGGATAATCACAGAACTACGGATTTCGTTTTCTCTTTGTGCTTCGTCTTTTTTTTTCAAAGGCGAAATAATTTGCTGGAAATTACGCAACCGACAAGTATAATTTATTCAGCTTTTGTAGGGGCCCATTTGTCATTTGAACGCAGTTTCTTGATTACGATCTTATTCTGTCTCTGGTCTGGAGATCTTTATTTTCCTCGTTTTCTTCAAATTAATTAGCATAAAAGCAACGAACATTTGATTGCTAATGTCTGTTACTATGTGTACTTTTTTTTACAGGGACTTGATTATAAAAGTAAACACGCAAATGCACGTTACGTTCATCTGTTTCAATTACTTCCTTTTCATTCCTTTATTAAATTACGTTCTTCTCCATTGACGTGCGCTGAAATAATCTACCCTTATTCCAGTAAATTATTTTCTGGTTGTGCGTTTTGTGAAAATTGCTGCTATTTTATGTGCACGTGTATTCATTAATTTTATTCTTAATTTTTTATTTTATTGTTGTTATTTGAGTATTATTATTATTCAATTATTTAAATTTTATTACTATGAAATTATTTGAATTTTATTGTTGCTAATTTGAGTGTTATTATTATTTAATTATTTAAATTTTATTACTGTTCAATGATTTTAATTGTATTATTATTTTATCGTTCGAAATTTATTAAATTATCTGAATTTTATAGCAATTCAATAATTTGAATTGTATTATTATTTTATTACTTGAATTTTAGTACTATTAAATTCTACTTTATTATTATTAAATTCTTTGAAATTCATTATTGTTAAATTACGTGAATTGTATTATTATTAAAGTATTTATATTTTTAAAATATTAAATTACACATAATATAAAATAATATTCCTTTTGGTAGTATTTGCATTGCTTGAAATTCTAACACGTTTTGTATTAATTTTATTTCGATGTAAATTAATTAATGACACATATTATTTTTTATCGTGTGTGATACATGATATCGTATGAGCTCTACATATGATTACATTTTTAAATAATTTCATAGTAATAAAATTTAAATACATAATTGCATAATAATAGTATTCAAATAATAACATTAAAATTCAAACAATTTCATAGTAATAAAATTTTAATAATTGATTAATAATAACACTCAAATAATAACAGTAAAATTCAAATAATTTCATAGTAATAAAATTTAAATAATTGATTAATAATGACATTCAAATAATAATAATAATTCAAGTAATTTCATAGTAATAAATTTTAAATAATTGATTAATAATAACACCCAAATAATAACAATAAAATTCAAATATTTTCGCAGTAATTAAATTTAAATAATTGAATAATAATAATACTCAAATAACAACAATAAAATTCAAATAATTTAATAGTAATAAAAGTAAATTAATTGAATACTATTAAATTTAAATAATATAACACGACTGACATTTAAACCATTGAACAACAATAACGTTCAAATAATTTAATAACGAAAATGTCAAACTAACCAAATAACAATAAAATTCAAATAAACTGAAAATCATTTCATGTCTATAATTTCTGTACAATATAACTTAATCCCCTTTGACATTCGCGGATGCATCCCCGATCGAAACACAACTGTACCGTAAAATCAGAATTGTATAAAAATAGAATTGATTGCAGAGAAAATCGGAACACCAGCATAATGATGTTAATTTGACGATAAATTATCCTGGTGGAAAAGGTCGGTATTGAATTCCGCGGAAAGGGATCCGACTCAGTATCTATCGGAAAAGAAAGAAATCCGGCTGAAAAATTTGTTCACGGAGCTCGACAGATATTTGCAATTTCGAAAGAGGGCTTGGCTTCTTCGAAGAAACCATCTGACCTACTTTCCAACGAGATCCTCTCGGTTCTCCCTTCGTTACAGTCTTTCTCATCGAATTTACCAAATGAAATAAACTCTCCGTGGAAACAGTTTTCTTTGCGACACTACGTATTCTTCTCGTTCTCGTACCACCTTTTGTGTTCCCGCTACCTTTATGGACGACCCTTTTTCGAAAGCTGTCGATTAAGATGGGGTAGTTTTCCTTCGAAATTACCCTTTCTCGCCATTCTCGAATACAATGCTGTCTTGTTCAATTATTGGATTAAACTCGATCCACGGTAACTTGAATCGCTGTGATTTCTATGTTTATACATGGATGGGGGTGGAACAGAAATTGAGTAGAGAGGATTTGCAATACAAATGTAGATATTGCGACAGTCACGTTGCTGTCACAGAAGCGAAGTGCCATGCTGATGATTTAGCGGTTCATATATTATTGTTTAACTGTGTAATTATATCTGACTATTTAACGATCTATTTAATTATCTGCCCAAACTATTCATCTACGTACTTACTACTTCATGTATGTAATCAGCTATTTGTTACATTACCCATTATTTGGTTATGTGATTGTTTATTTACATATAAAAGTATTTAAATATTTGAACCTAAGGGCTATTAATATTTTTTTATTTATTTACATGTTTATTGTTATTATTATTCATTTGTATAATATTTGTTAATTTAGATATAAGGATATTTAAATGGATACATAATTTTTCCATATCTATTTACATTACACATATTTACTTCTTTAGTATCATCATTATACTTTTACTTATTATAAAACATAATTTAATTTTATTTATTATAAACATTATTATAAAACGTTATTGTCCACTAACAGCTGTACAAACATTTAAAACTTTTTCCTCCTTTTTTCCTTTTTTTCCAAAAGATTTTAAATCTTGTGATAAGATTTGAAATTCTAACAAAAACACCCCTTGCCTAATTATCAATTAAAATCAAACAAATTTTGCTTTAAAACATTCATAAGGAAAATAAATGACATATTCAAAGAATAAATTAATTTTGCAAGAATGTTGATTAAATTACATTCCGTTTAAAACATGATATATCTAAGTAGCTGTTGGGAAACTTTAGCGTAAATGTGAACAAGTTCCCACCTCCATACCGGCAATCTTTCTGTGCATTTAAACAGTATGAACAGTGGTGAACTTGGTAGAGTTAAGTTAAGCTAAATACAACCAAGGCTAATGAGCGTTTATATGAAATTTTGCATAAATATTCATCAAAGTTCAGAAGTTCTTGTTAATTTCGCCGTTACCGTAAATCATTCTAAAGGGGTTGAATCCTTTAGTGTGAGCTCTTTTGCTTAACCAGACAGCGAAATAATTTCTGTGCTAGGGAACTTGGTAACGTTTTTGCTCCTTTTTATTGTTGTATAGAGCAGTAATTATATACTTAAAATGTGGATTAAGTTTTATTTTGAGGATGGATTGTAAATGTTACGTTCTAGTATTTCTTGCTATGAAGCAATATTATTAAGTATGGAGCACGTAGGCGACCCTAGGGAAATGGCTAGATACGA